TCCATTTACACTATTTATGACACCACCTCCTCCTCCTGTTTAACCGCGTGCCTGAATGGGCATGACACTTCAACATAACTCCCAAATCAAAAATCAATGGCGCACACATGATCAAGTGCTTCCTATCTCATTGCTTCTTGAGGGTAAATTCGATAACACAGCTCACTTTTTCTTGGAAGGGCCTTTTACTGGCGGGGGCTGTTGGGAAGGGCCACCTTTCTCCACCGAGTTACCACGACGACAGCTCTGCTCTCCGGCCGAGGGGGAGGAGGAATCTGATTGGGTGGTTTCGCAAACCACCTGGAAGCCCTGTGGGTGGGAGAGAGAGATGGACAGATACTGTATGTGGGTAGATAAACAGACAGAAAGACGTACGGACAGTTCCTGATAATTAAAGGCTCTGAGGTTGGAGTGAGGTTTCTGTCATGACCCTTGCTAACCACACTAATGCTCCCGGATGGCTGGTGCTAATGAATATTAGCAGCCAGCCCCAGTGGGAATGTTGAAGGGGGGAGGGGAAGAAGCCTCAGACTGTTGCCTGAACACATTCAATCAACATGGGAAGCAAAATCTGACAAAGATCTGAGCTAAATGCGCTTACTCACCATGGGACCCGGGTTGCCAGATCCACAGGGGCTGCACTGGTTGTTGACTGGGGAATTCCTCTTAGCTGTTGAGACAGGCATAGCGGATTACATGTCTTAATTATGAGAAAATAAAAAATAAATATACTTTTTATAGAGATGTGTATATATACTGTATATATGAGGAATATTTTTTCACCTGTCACGATATTTCTCACAGGTTTGATGAGTGCAGTAAAGGCAGGGATGTCAGGCTGGCGGTGCTCCCACATTGGCTGCCATATAACCAGGCCGCTGGCCAATCGGAAGGTCAGATCTGACTCCTTAAAAACAAAACAAAAAAACACAAGTGATATATTTAGAATCTCATTTATAGAGGAAGCAGTTTTGCACACCCAAAGCATGATTTAATCATCAAAATGCATGACTTGAAATGTTTCAGTTTTATCATGTTGTTGGATTTTTGGAAAGAGAACCGTGGTCATGGTATGATCATTCACAAGATTCAGTAATTCATCGTTCAGTTGGGAAACAGTGCAGTCCCCAGGGTGCTGTAACGTGACTCTTGTATCCGTTTGTACACACAGATCAATAGTCATGAGGTGACCCTGAGTATTTGTGTTTCAAAGGGTTCGATATGAGCTTCTAGTATGAAGGCCAGTGGAGATGTTAACAATTTTAGAATGAAGCTGAATGTGACTGCTGCTAAAAGATTTTCAAAAAATGACAACTATGTACAATCTCCCTGTGACAGCCATTTTTTGTATAATAGAAAAGAGTAAACTTGCATAGTAACAATGACAGTTAGTGAACGGCTATTTTAGTATACTGTTATAAGAGTTTACTCCAAGGCTGCACACATTCATTTGACAACAGACCTTTATCCGATGAATAAGCGGAGCAAAAAGGAACACGAACAGCTCCACGGTGGCCATGCTCTTGTGGAACAGCTTGGTACGAGTATGCTCGTCCTCCTCCAGCAGGGAACCGCTGTGCTGGGGCCCTGACCCCCCTAGGGCCGAGCCGGAGCAGGAGCCGGGAGCCCCGGGTGACGAGCCCTGGTTTCCCACGGGCTGGAGGAAGGCACTGCTGCTGCTGCCCCCGGACCAGCCGTGGCCCAGGCTTGGCTCATGGTTGCACTCCTGGGCAGCCTCCAGCAGCATCCAGTGCAGAGTGTGGAGCAGCTTAGTTTCGGCCACGCCCAGCTTGTCCTGGTGGCCTGTCGGAGGTCAGAGTTCATGGGGTTAATGTTGAACGCTGCTTAGTGAGGTGATGAATCGGCAGCATGAAGCTCTAGTGTTTGTGTGGGTGGATTTTGGCATATTACTGGATGTTTATGACACTCTTTATCATCAGTTGTGGTGATTCTTCACTTCAGTTAAAGTAAATTTGCTTTTCTTTGTCTTATGTGAAAATAAACTGTTTATCATTTTGGTTTTAGACTGTTGATGAGACAAGACAAGCAATTTGAAGATATCACCTTGGGCTTTAGGAAATTATGTGGATCACTTTTCATTATTTTGGACCAGAAAAGGAATTGATCAATCACAAAATAATCAGCAGATTAATAAATAATGAAAATAGTCAATATTTGAGGCCCTATTATCAATAGTAAAATATTTTTTTCTCATCTTTTTAATGCTGTATATATATTTAAACGCCTTAGATAGTCCGTGACTCTGAATGTCCTCAAATTGCTTTTTATTTTTTATTTTTTGAGATGCTCACATGATCCAGAAAAAGAATACATATAATTCAAATAGACATATTTTGTTCTTTGTTTTCCCATAATTGAGAACTGCGATGTACTGTAAAGTCAGGCTGTCCTGTAACTGAAAGAACATCCGTTCCGTGTTTTGTTGAATGAGGATAACCTGGATGAGGCTGTCAACTCAATGACTACAGTGGTGGTAATGTGTGTCCTGCGTGTCCTCACCCAGCTTGTTCCTGTTAGACAGCAGGATGGAGGTGCAGTGGAGTACATGAGGCAGGGCTGCTTGGACGAGCTCCCAGCGCGAGATACTCTGGATGGCCTCTGACAGGGCCGGTGACAGCCCATGGAGCTTATTCTCCACCAGCACCCGCTCAAAGGACTGGGGAGGCAGCCAGGGAGAGGAAGAAAAAAAAGACATCAGCCAGGGACTAAAGCCTTTTTCTTTGACTATCTAAATGTCCCACATGGCCTCAAGCAAGGCAATGCCTGTGGGAGAGACACTGGCAGCTCTGTTTAGATCCAAAGGGATCTGGAAAAGTGTCATTATGGATATGAGTTTCCAAAGGTCTGGCTCCTGGGTAATAGGAGGAAGCAAGGGCAAAAACTAATTTGTTAAATGCAAAATAAAGAGCCCACTTGATCTGCAGGTGCATTAAGGTAAAAACAGATTACTGGGAAGGGAGCGATTATTTTCCCATCACCACACACATGGCATTATGAAATGACTTACCACACAAGATGCTTCATACTGTTTTCCCAACTTTGGACGCAGAAATGCACTGAAAAAAAATAAAAACAATGGAAACATGCTCAGATTAGATTGAAACAAAATGACACTATGAAATCACAAATGTCAGATAATATTTTTTAAACAACAAAGCATACTGTACATGCCATTTTACACCAACATGACAGTCATTTCACTGCAGCTAGTCCACATACCAGTCTATCTATTTGGCCCACTTTCCATTGAAAATTTGCTTCACAGGTGTGACATCATACGATCTGCATCCGTATGCATTCACAGTGAACACCTTGCAAAAAAAAAAAAAAAAACATGCAGCCCACCCTCCTCCATTTATAACATTCAGTGAAACCGGTGAACTGATACACTCAGTGACACGGTTTCCCATTCACGGGTTGAAGCATATTAAGCCAATACATCTATTTTGACGCCAATCACAACAAAAATGCGGGTTTTGTTCTCGTGTCAGGCTGAGACTTTGCCACGGCAGCTGTCAGAGCCTTGATCCTCCTTATTTTCGGGCACTGGCACACACCTGTTATCAATTTCCACTAAAGCCCACACTAACCTGGTTTGCCTCCATAGGAAGGTCTGGATGGGGAACGGTATACCCTTCCCGCACTCCGGCTCATTTTCGTCCAGGCTTTTCCTCTTCACCATTTTGGCCGGACCTGCCTGCCTGCTTGCCCGCCCGCCTGCGTGCGACCACCGGACCGGGCTGCTGGCTCTGCCCAGGTGACCAGCGAGCTTCCCCTCACGACATGATTGGGTTCGTCCTGCGTAAAATGGCTGCAAGTATCGGTCGGTCGGCGGCAATAGAGAGAGAGAGAGAACGGGAGAGAGAGGGAGAGAGGGAGAGAGAGAGAGAGAGAGAGAGAGAGAGCAAGGGTGGGGGGTGGAGGGTGGGGGAGACGGAGAAGGAGAGAGTGCTCTGATTTCAGCACCTCCCTCACCGGACAGTGACAGTTGATCGGCGTGCTAATTTGTCGGCGGCGGAGCTTAAAGACGCAGTGTGCAGCTGAGCCAGATGTTTTTTCCATGTCAGCCGCTGTGCTTCGTCACGGGAGAGGGCACAAATACACTGCACATATGGATAAAAAAAAAGAAAGAAAGAAAATGCTGCTGATTTGCACCTGAATGGTGCATTCACACGAGGGTTAACACCCCCTACCCTCCATTTGAATGTCAACAGGTTGTTTAATAACCCAGGTGGACAATCTATGTAGTGGCCTATGAAAGAATTTGATGTGTTGGAGGAAGTATTCAGACTTGTTTTCTGAAATAAGTGTAGCAATACAACACTATAAAATATTGCACATAATGCAGATTCTGCATAAGTGCATGCATTCTGCACAAGGGAAAGTATTGACTACAAAAGGTACTTCGATTATCAAAATGAAAAATAATCATTCTGCATATTGCTCCTTTCATTCATTTAATCTGTAGTAATGCATCATATTTTATAAGCTGGTCATATGTTTTGTATGTAGCCTAAAGTCTTTATCTGCAAAAAAAAAACTAGACAGATATATGTATGTACCAGGGTAAAAGTTCAGTATTTATCCTTATAATATATTGGAGTAGAATTATTATTATGATTTTGCTAAGGTTATTTTTTCAGACTTTGAAAAGCTGCTTCTGGAAACGCCTGAAAACATTACACAGCTGCTTTTACATGATGAATAGGAGCTGTGACAAGCAAACTAGGCTTTAAATAGGTGTAAAAACCCTTTAAATAAAGTTATCATCCACCACTGGATACAGCCACCACTATACACAAGTATACCAGTAAATTTCACGAGGTTGCCACTGGCAGTTTTTCACAATAAAAGTCTCCAATATATCAGTATAGACACCAGCCATGCACATTAACATATTGTCCCTATTCACTTATACATATACATTAAAAAATAAAAACTAGAGAGAACCACTTTTTATTTTCTTTATTTCTGTTGTCATCATCATCCTGTAGGAGCATTTGTCATCAGTACGTCTCAAACATTGGAGAGTGTGCACACATCTACATGGTCTTTTAAATACACTTACACAGGCAAAGAGGGGCTGGGGAGCAGGGGAGCAAGAATATAGGAAGCACAGAAGAACACTGGAGGGGCAGCTGACATTGGGGAGGAGGAGAAGAGGAGAAGGGGGGTGGGGGGCAGAGGAATTTCACAATGGTGAGCAGAGAATATGCTAGAACTGTTCTGTTTTTTACTCTTTTTTTTATGAATCCTAACAGCTGCAAGTTGAGGGTCTTTTTCAGTTTCTTCTTCCATTTCCTCTAAAGTTACCGGTTCAATCGCACAAAAGGGCCAAGTAGCTGCTCTTTCAAATGGAATGTTTTCATATAAAGCTTCTTACTTTCCACTTTTTTCTTTTTTTAAAACAAACTTCGGGCCCTTTGTCCATTCAGATACGTTGTACGACCCCCTCTCTGCCAAAAGGAGAAAAGTCACAGGAGCGTGAGAGGCTTTTTAGGGATCTGACCTTGAAGTTTAGACACTAGGATGCACCCTGGCCATTTACACTCGCACTGAAAAGTTTAAGATTGCTCCAAATAGATCTAATTTATTTATAATCCATTTGCCATGCCAGCATAACAGCATTGATGTAGCCTAATAAAACCACAGCGCTAATGTAAAACCAAACAACAAAGAGCAGCCCATTGGTTTGAAGAAAAGAGAACAAAAAGAGAAATCTATTGGAAAGCTAGCCTTTTAGCACTTGACTCAACATAACTGCAATGGTTATCAACATTTAAGTGCTAATAAGCCAGTGCAGCCACAGGGAACATACAAAACTGGAACAACTTCCACTACAGTGACATATATAAAAAGAAAACATAGCAAGAGAACACAATTTGTCCAACAATTCAGCACATATCAGGAAAATCATAAGTTTAAAATCCAACCAACAAACAAACAAAAATTCATGTCGTTTGACTTAAAATGTCACATTTTATCAGACATGCTCATCAACCATTCTTTTGCAGGTACAGTTACACGCCATGTTTCTGTAAGTTATGTCTCTCACACACAGATGTATCTTTAAGACTACCGTCTAGTATCTAGTAGCTATATCTTGCATTCAGTACCATATAAATTCTGAATGGACGTTATGCATGAGTTCACCTTAAAGTTTATCCCCATACAAGTGGAATGTAGTGATGCTTTTCACGCTAAAAATATCACTGTACAATCATAAAACCATCAACGCGTTCTTAGACAAACACATCCAGTCAAACCTTCGTATTCAACCTATCTGAAACAAAACAGAAAAGTCCATATTTCGAGTGAACAAAAATGAATGGAAAAACAAAATTAAGATTGACTGGGCGTGTCCCTTTTAAAGGGGGTGAATGACGGATAATCTTAGAATTCAGTTTTTTAAAATCCCACGGGAAAGGGTGGAAGGGGTGTTGATGGACGAGACAGTCAATCAACTACAACAGTAGAACCTGTGGGGTCAAGTGTGTGTGTGTGTGTGTGTGGGGGGGGGGGGGGGGGGGTCATGTTGCAGTGAGGAACCTTGGGAGAACACTGGATGCTTATCAGTGAATGAGACCGATGGGAAGAGGAGTAATGGTGTGGATTTTTTTTTTTTTTCTTTTTCGGAGGGGTATCCGAAGCGGAGGCAGCCGGCTCATAAGCCCTGCTTGGCCAGAGCGGCGGTGACATCCTGGGCCAGCGTGGAGAGCTGTGGTGACTCCAGGAGGTTGATGCTGCCGGCGGAGGACAGGCGAGGGGAAGTGCCTCCTGTCTCGACCCCGGGGGAGTGAGTGACGACGATCTCAGCGCCGTGGTCCACTCGGGCTTTGGCTGATTCCCGGAAGCTCAGCTTGTGGCTCTCAATCTGGCGGGTACGGACAAGAGACTTTAGGTCAAGGTTGTTTTCTCTTTTTTACACAAATCTGGCAGGGACAGAGACATCGTGTGCACAAGATATTTGCGTGCTTCTTTTTACCATAACATTGCCCCCTCCAGGAATGTGGGCGGTGTTGTCCAGGGAGCCGACCTTGGCATGGGCCTTTTCTTTAAAGTCCAGCTTCTGATTCTCAATACGCACGTGGCCTCCCCCTGGGAGCAGGACAGCAAGGAGGAGAGGAAAAGAAATAAACCTGTGCTGCATCACTTCTCCCTAGCTACGCTCAGGGCAAAGACTCTCCTGTTTGACACCTGTTTGAGTTGCTTAATTCTGTACATGCAGTTTCATATAAGGCAGTGCAATATGGCTGAAATCCTATATTGACCTATTAAAACATGGCACAGGTATGTAAAATCACATATAAAATAGTTAAACTGAGACCAAACAGCAGAAATGTACATGTATAAACTCTGCAAAATAATCTGAACTAAACTAAATGAGCTTTTAAGTTTGTTATTAATCTCTACAGGATGTTAGATCTTTGTAATCTTGTTATCTCTACATATTAACTTCAGACATTATATGCTGCACTGATAAAGAGCAGCCTCTTACACAAAGTGGCACATTAAATATTGTGTATACACAAGGGTCAGTAAAAAGCAGCCCTTTATGGTACCTGGCTTGTGGTGGATGTTGGACATAGAGCCGCACTTGGCAGTGACGTGGCTCAAGTCGATCTTCTTGGTCTGGATTTGGATCTGTGGGCAGCACTGTACATTAAATCCAAGTTTACAAGAAAAAGACAGTGAGGAAAGCTAGAAGCTACACACACAGACGTGAAATGAAGAGGAAGACGATGCGATATGTTTTGTGATGCAAAGCAAAAAGTCGGTATGGAAAAGTTACAAATCAGCTATAGGACGACACAACACGAAGAACGAATGGAGACGGATTAGGTCGGGCAACGCTGATGAGACATTGTTGACGTCGGCTCCCTGGAGAGGGTTAACATGAATAGCAAGCGGCGACAACACAGACAGCAAGCAAACACAGAACGCGGGCACTACGTGATGCTACAGGGAGCAGATGCTTCAATTAAACTTTATTGTCCATGGGTGATATGAATTAGTGCGTCTACAAACACTGTTAAAAAGATACGGTGACAACCCTGCATGCTGTAGAGAGGTGTTTATGTTAAGAGTTTATACACTCTGCAGAGATACTGCATGTTGTGGCCCAGGCAAATAAAAAAAAAAATAGATATATTTTTGGTACAAATGAAAGTAGAAAATTGAATATATTTGCTTCTGGGGCACAAAACACAGTTGATAAAGATGACGACACTCCACGGCTACAATTCACAGACATGTTCATAGCTAAATGTGTTTAGTTTATTAGAATGAGAGGACTTGGAGAGATGCTTTTGAATGTGTGTGTGTGTATATGCTTTTCTGCGGAGTCACTCACGTTTCCCCCGCCTGCTGTGTGCTGGAGTTTGTCCAGGGAGCCACATTTAGATTGAACGTGGCTAAAATCCAGTTTAACACTTGGAATCATGACCTGGGAATGACAGGGTGACTTTTTTTTTCTTTTCTTTTTTTTTTACACAAACAAACAGGCAACACTGAGGGTTTTCTAAAGCAGGAGTAGAGGGGGGGGGAGCTTAAAAAAGGCACCCCCCCGTCCTGTCCCGTCCCGTCCTGTCCCACCCCGCCCCGAAATAATCCTGTAAAAGTGTCCCAATTTTAAATCCACCACCGATCAATCTGTCGGAGCTCACTTTAGCATTCAAATTTCAGCTTATCTAGACCACAGAAAACAAACTGGAGCTTTTTATTGAGAAAGTTGAATTTTTCTGCAGGGATAAAGGCAGGTATCAGCGTGCAGATGCTGCACTTGTAATGCTGTAATCTGTGGAGCCCTGAACTTTGTTCCTCTTTTAAACAGAGTTGTTATAGCACCCTGAAGCATTTTTTTTATTTTAAAGAGTTAATTCCCAAGTGCAGCATCCATTATTTGAACAAGTATTAAAGACATAAATTCACAAAATAAAAACAAACAAAAAAATCACTTCCAAGGGGAGAAGGGAACTTTACTTCTTTGTTGACACAGAAGTAACTCGGATTCATTGCACTTTGGGAATAAAGCCTTGTTTTGCTTGACAGACAAACAGATGGGCCGACAGATGAACAGATAAAAGTAGCATGAGAGAGCGCTACAGCAGCCCCAGCTGAAAGGGAGAAAGAGAAAACGAGAGAGAAGAGAAAGAGAAAGAAAAGAGAAAAGGCGTACATACATTGCCTCCTTTGGGCGTGTGCTTCAGATTATCCTTGGAGCCGCACTTTGACTGAACATGACGGAAGTCCAGCTTCTCGCTTAAAATGTGAACCTAAAACAAAATCGAATAATAAAAAAAAAAAAAAAAAAAACACTATATGTGCCTCGTTTAATAAAGTGTGCGATGGGTGATCAATGTGTCTTCACATGCATTTACATTGAACATGTATTTACATTTTACAGTACTTTTCTTCGTGCTTTTGTGCAGAGCTCTGCAGGAGTCGCTACAACACAAATAAAGACTCGATCCCTCACCGGCTTCCCACCCACAGACACTGCAAGCTTTGTTTGTTCAAATGCACGACAAATGCAGGGAAAGTCCAGTGGCAAAACTGTTCTCTTGTTTTTCCAGTGGTGATTAGGAGGCAGAAATAATCGAATTGGCCAAGTTAAACCTCGTCGGGCGGAATCACAGAAACACTTTGTCTGGACGAATAATCTTTAGACTTGTGCTCAACGAAAAATTCAAAGGGTAACCAATCGGGTAATTAATATTATTAAGCCCAGACCTACAAATTTAAGTAAACCGACAATCAAATACAGATATATATAACCTTGCTGATGTTCATAAATCACGGTTTGACATAACCAATGAAAATATTTCTGCCTTGTGCACCAATGTGTGTTATCTTGTAGAATCAAAAATATAAAAATGCCTAAGTGAACACAAACAGAAGGTAAAAGAAAAGAGAGAGGGGTTCAGGGAAAACACACACGAGCCCTGACAACAAGCCTCTGTCTCCGGTCCATGCTGACCTGACCTGGATTCTCCTGACAGCTCTTCCTCTAAACCTAAAACCTGCACACACACACACACACACACAGGGACACACACAGCCCTTGCTATCCATTTTAATGCTTTTTTTTTTTTTCTCTCCCCCTCTTTGCTTTCTTTTTATTTTGCAGTTACCACACTATGCTGTCCCCTTCTACAGCTGTTGCGGCACAGACATCTGCAAGGTCAACCAATGACAAAGCAGCGGGGCCGATCGACAGCTCCAAACGAAATATCACCAAAGCACTGATGCTCAAGTCTCATTTTCACACCAACAGTATTTCTTTGCACAAGCAATGCTTCTTTGAGGGAAAGAAAAATATCATCTGAAAAAGTCTTCAATGTCAAATATCAAAATAAAATGAAGTTGAGACATATAATTATAAATATGAATTAAAATGTTATCCAATGTCATTTTAACATTAAAAAAAATCTACTTCAACATCAAGTCTTTAGTCTGACACAGACTGTGCTCCACAAAACCTGCTGTGCTGCTTCTCTCCAAGCCGTGCATCACCCAGCTTCATTAAAAATTACTGCCCTTATGTCACATTTCTCCCCGAAGACGAAAGGAGAGCTGGCAAAGTGACAATACATCGCCTCCGTCTCCATATTTCACAGGGGTTAATGAAAAGTCTCACCTCTGTAATACTCCGGGAACATTAAGACTGTCTGCTGCCTTGGCTACGTGATGAAAAAAAAACTGCAGTCTATTACATTGCACTCGACCACACATCCGTTAAAACCCATAGACAAAGATGAGGGGAATAAGAGTTCGAGTGCATGCACGGGTTGTGCGTTATTTCATTTTCATTTGGGAGAAAAGGGAAAAAGATTCTTTCTCTAACAGCTTGGCCACCTCGAATCTTAAAATTTTTATCAGGCATCTGTCGTCGGTTCAACAGAGGCAGACGAGTAAATCTGGCTCTTTTTGGGGACCTACCGAACGATATATTTATATATATGTGATATATTTTATTATATGCTGTGTCCTTCATACAAGTTCTCAATAAGTAATTCCTGCTTGCAGTTATTAATAGTCAGAGCCAGAGGGAAACTCTTGCAATGGTAATGACGAAAACAGCTCCCCACGGCAGACGATTCTGCAGGTTGACTGCTCCTTGGAGGTATTCTTGGAATACTCTTAGGAGGATAGCTGTTTAAAACCTCATTATTTTAGAAAAGACCAACACGGGACGTGTGTGGTACGGCTGAAGCTTCTTCAGTAGAGAGAAATTTGGGAAAAGGTGAGGAGAAGAGAGACAAAGAGACAGTCAGGGGTGGAGGCCAGAGGCAGCCGATGACGGTTCATCCAGGCTGACGGAGATGACAGCGGACAGGGAGAGAGGGCAGAGGACAGTCGCGGGGGAAGCAGACAGACAGTGACGGCGCGGCAGGGGGTTTAGAGGCAGGCCAGACAGTGATAGTGATAGTGAAGATGTGAAGAGAGATATTTGAGCATTGCACGACATTTTTACAACTCAGAGAGTGAAAAAGGAGACAGAGAAGAGGAAGGAAGGTAAGAAAAACACAAGAGAAAACCACTGTTTAAACTCCCACTTTCTGTCTGTTTTTAGAGACCTGTTACATACATGAGTAAATAACCTTTCAGTTTTGTTTTCAACGTTACCATTTCTTGCATCTGTCTTTTATCGGTACATTGAATCAATAGCTTTATAAAAGAGAAATAATTTGCAGTAATTATATTGCTAGAAATGAAAGGCAATGTGTGTCCAATATAACTTTATGCTTCTCTGCCATCTAGTGGCAGAAGTAGGTAAATGCTTCAAAATTTAAAATCAGAACCATTAAATATGATCTCAGTGAATTATGTATCTATGTGCATCTAAATTCATCCCTCTCTGTGTGGTGTAAAGATTTTTTTGCCAGATAGACAAAAGGATTGCATTGTTCAAATTTTAAAATCTAATTTTAAAAGTGCTGGTTTAACTCCACTGGAAAATCCTTGAGTTCTTGCAACTCAAGGTATTTTTTATTTTTTTTATTCTGTTTTTCCTCAAGTGTGATTCCAAAACCGAATCAACACTATGACTGTTGAGCACAGTCCCGTTACCTGCCCGCCTTTCGGCTGATGTTTGAGATTGGAGGTGGACCCAATCTTGGACTTTACATTCTTCAGGTCAGGCAGGGGCTGATTGAGAACCTTCAGCTGCCGTTGGGCGGAGGATGGAGACTTGGGCGGGGTTCGGATCACCGCCACCTTCTTCTCCTGGAGGACGCTGAACGACTTGGGCGTGTGGCTGCCAGGGGTGCGCGAGCCCGGGGTGCGGCAAGAGTAGCTGGGGGGCGTGCCGGGCGTGACGGCGGAGGAGCCAGGGGTGGAGGCGCCGCTGCGCACTGATCGAGAACGTGCCGAGTCTGTACCTAGGAGATAGGAGAGGTCGGATTAGGATGAGAGGAGGGAAGGAGGGATAAGAAAAACCCTTCCTGGAATGTGGCAGAAAAAGAAAGAAAGAACAAAATGACCTCAGACAAATAGGAAAGAGGGAGAAGAAAGACAGAAATAGAGACGGATGGACTGGTGTGTGTAATCCTTCATCTGGTTCTGATGATGATGATATATATAACATAACACTCTCAGCTGTGAACGCTGCTCTGTTCGCATCGAATTTTCTCTACGTTTTCCACAGAACAAACAACCCAGGTCAAACAAGAGTGTTTGACAAGGAGCGTGAAAGCACACACAGGCAGCTGAATTCATTTAATGCTGAAGGCTTGTTGCTGGGACACTGGTGCAGGACCAATAGGATCTCAGCCAACAATGCCTTGAATAAGACCAACATGTAGCAACCTGTCGTCATGGATCCCACCTGTTTCTCTGATAAGGTAACTGCAGGTTTAACAAAGCAAAATTGTTGTAAACTGTAAACTTTTAGCTAGCAGAGCAGGCCCTGTAAATAAAGCATGCTTTGGATATTACAATCCTGTTGTGTATTAAAAGGTGAATTACGTTGCACGGAGATTGAAAAATAAATCATTTTAAAAAACCTGCAGAAACCTTTCAGAATAAGATGTGACCAAGATGAATGGATGAATTCTTTGTCAATGGAAGATGCTCACTCCTATAACCTATGTTGGTGTAATTAATAAACAAAATCAAAATACAAAAACAGAAACACTATGTGCTAACAACTAGATGTCATGTGTCGATGATGAGGAGCTACTGGGTGGTCTACCTGCCATACTAGGGGCTCTTCCAGACCTGCCGTCCGCTCTGGACTCGGTACGGAACGCTTTGAGAGAGAGGAGAGGCAAAAGGACAAGGAGGCAGGGCAGGGCGTGGAGGGCGGCGTGAGTTAATATGTAATCAAATCATCCAAAGTTAGTGAGTTCGGAGAGTCAATAAGATCAATAAAGAGGCAATCTGCTGTGTAAAGGGAGGGGGAACGAGCTAGAAGCTTCTGTGTGTGTGTGTGTTTTTTTTTAATGTGTGTGTATTCTTACAGGTTGGCCTGGTGGGGGTGCTGTCTTCTTGCTCAGCAGCAGGGATGTGGCGAGTCAGAGATTTGGCTGGCCTGGGGAGGGATGACCTCTTCTCTGGGCTGCGGTATGCTCTCTCCTGAATTCACACACACAAACACACACATACACACACACACACACACACCATGGGGAGTCAATACCCAGGCTTCATCACGTGCAGCGTTGATGGACATTGGTCACAGCTACCTATCAGTCCCCGTTATCCTTTCACTTTACCTTCTCTGCCCATTTTTTTGGCAGAGGGGACGGGCGGGAGCACGCAGAGGAGGGGCGGGCCTCATTGAGCTCCGCCTCCACCAGGGGGCTCCGTTTAAGGCTACAGGCAGAGCCGGGCCGGGGGGGACGGTGATCGGACCCCCGACGCTGCACTGCCATCTTTAACAGAACGGCCCGCGTGGGGCTCTGGAGCGAAGACCGTGATGAGAGGCAGGAAAACATGCAGGAGAGGTGGAGGATGTGCAGGCAGGGAGAGAGAGAGGTGACAAACAGATGGAGAAATGAAGAAGTGAGATGGAGACGGACTAGAGATGAAATGTGCTTATTTATAGTTCAAGAACAGACACATTGAACATGAAAGTGTATGTTCAATTGTATCACAGTATCTTTAGCTATTCTATTTTAGAAAAGTTACCCTGTTATGGTGAATTACGAATGAAGATACTGAATGATCAACATACACATCTGGTTATTTGATTTTCTTTTAAGAGTGGACAATCTGGACCCTTAGAAGGACAGAGATTTTCATATTTTAAAAGACATAAAACAGGATGAAATTCCAACACAAAGGGAAGAAGAGGACTTGACTATGGAAAAGACAGAGTTTTGAGTCAAAATGTTGGGATTGATTTAGATGAAAACATGATTCGGGTGAGCCCCTTTGTCACCGTACTGCACATTGTGAGTGTTTTGGGTTTTTTTTGTTCGGTAAAATGTACACCTCGCTGTACACGCCAACTGTAATTTGATTTCTTTACTCACAGGCTTTCTCTGTCGAGACTGGAACAGACAGGGATAGAGGCAGGCATGCAAGATAAAAAGGAATATGCACACAGAGAAATAAAAAAAGATATGAATGCAGACATGCAGAAAAGAAGAAAAAGCACAGAAAATATTGAGTTTCTCGAGCAAACAACGGGCCCCCGTGATGCAACACAGAGTTGTGTGGTGAAATGTCCTGAGAGACTAATGCGACAACTGCTTGCCAGAATATACTACTCCTTAAAATGATGCAACTTCAGTGAACTTGACATAATATATGTACAGTCAGTAAAGATATGCTTGAATTTACATTTAGATGCAATCATAAACCTTGAAAAAAGAGCAAAATAACAATTACCCTCTGGTATCAAATGAGATGCATTTACAAAAATAAAGGAAAAAAAACTCCATGCGAATGAGAATCACAGCCGTTATGAGTGTGTGTCACAGATCATAATACTTACAGTGGTCCTCTCCCTGGACTGGTGGGCCACACTGAGGGGCTGATGGATTTCCATCCCTGTGAAGAAAGAAGAGTCCTACTGTAATAATCAGTGTAAACCAGCAGGGGGAGACATTTGCGAGTGTGAACACACATGCTCACACAGCACACGCAAACATACACATATACAGTACATCCATACATATATATATATATGCATTATGCACTCTGAATGGACAGAGATCAGATAATCACGCATCAGAAAACTCACATTACAATATTTTTCGTCTCTCTTCACATTCATAGCTTTTTCACACAACTGACCACACACACACACACACAACTTTGAAGCCATTTCCAGCAAACATAGAAAAGTGAGCTGTAAAACCCAAAATAGCTACAGTAGGCTCCTCATAAACAAAAAAACAGTACACTCATCATCACCATCATTAAATACAACTCACAAACTACAGCATCAGCGAGCAGAAAACAACAACAAAAAAAACATGAATATGAACCCTAACAGCTGAAAATGCACCATTTTTGACAGGTAGAAAATGAAACCACAAAACAAAAGTCCAAACCAAAAAGTGCAGTGACATGTCAGTGGAGAAAAACAGAGCAAATGTGGCGTTTTAAAAATGGGTCAACAGCACATGATATTTGCCAGCTACATTGTACCTGCTCACTTTCTCAAAGTGCCATCAATAGAGAGAGGCAACATTGTCAATAGCTGTTACGTTGTTTTGTTTATTTCTCATCAATTATGCCAACTAATATTTGTTTTCTTGTATTGTCTCAAATAGAACCACATGATCTTGGTAGAAAATTCTCAATACTGACCAAAACCTTTTAAAAAAAAATTGGGATTATTGGTATTTTAGTCATGCATAGGGTGCTCAGTTCCAGATACCGTGCTATGGTAAGATCTGGTTTCGCTCTCTCTATCCACGGCACTGATTCCTGGTGAAGAGTGTTCACCTGTGGCCTTGCGTCTAGCAGAGCCGTGAAGCAGAGCAGGCCTAGGATGTCTGGCCGCCGCTTTGGCTACACTCTTTCGAGATGGAGAACGACTTTGGAGGACTGACACCTTATTCTGGTCAGCCCTCCTCATGCCTACTGGCAAAAAGGAGAAACAGGATTATACCAACATGCAATACCTCAGTTAAATGTACAACAAATCTATTAAGTCTGCTACTGTTTAAAAAAAGTATCAATGCAAATGTACATTGTTAAAAAATGAAGTACACAATTTGTTTTAAGCTAAACAATACTTCTTCTTGAATACAGAACTGAAACCTTTTTTCTTCTTCATCTCCTCTCTTGGATGGTGGCTGGGTACTTTGCGGGACAGTTTGCTCTCAGTAGTGCCAGAGTTGCCCCTTCCTCTGCCAGGGGCCCGTTTAGCGGGTCTGTCCACCACCACAGGTGTACTGGTTGGACTCTGGGTGTGAGGAAGGGCTTCGATTTGCTCAGTCATAATACTTTTGTCATCATCTGCAGTGGAGAAGGATCAAAACAGGACTAATTCTCCACATTTATTGATAGGAACTACCTTATCACAAAAGACACATACAGACTTATTAGCAACAAGCTTTCTGGTGTTAGTTAGTTTTTAATATAAGAACAATAGATTAAGTATAAATTAACTTTTTTAATTTATTAATTTATTTTTTTACAATTGATTGCTTTATTCATTTTACAAGCTGTAATACCTTTTGAGTCCATACAGCCACTCTCTGTATCTAGGATGGAGACGTCCATGGTGGTTTCATCGTTAGCTGTCTGACTGGTCTGGCAGAGCACATCAGAAGTCTCTTCCACCTCCTGACCAATCTCGATGTCTTTCTGCTCCTCCTCCTCAACCGTCCTATTCTTCCCCTCATCTTCTTCTTCCATCATTTTCTCCTCTTTTTTTTCATGTATCTCATCAGTACCAACTTCCCTCACTTTCTCCTCTCCTGTTTGGTCTTTCTTTACCTCCTCATCCCCTTGCTTCTTCGCTTCTTCTCTATTTATTTGTGGGTCGTCTGCTAGTTTATCCTTCCCCATCCCTTGATCTCTACTTCCATCCTCCGTTGGCTGTGGTGGGTCGTGGTCAGAGCATGGAGACAAGTGTGAACTGTCTGTCGCAGGCTCCCCATCGTCACTGTTTTGGGCACTATGGCTCCATTCCTCTGCTCCAGACTTGGGATCTTCTTCCAACACCTGATCACCTACCATCAGCCTCACCTCCACTTTCTTTTGCTCTTCCTTTCCAACCACAGCTTGATCTGTCTTGGGGAGAACAGGCTCTTCAGCTTCCTCCATCATCTCTTGAGGCTCTTCAGCAATCTCAATATCATCCTCATCATCCACTTCTTCTTCTACTTGTGCTTGAGGTATAATGATGATTGGGGAGGATATGTGTGGCTTTGGTGAACCCTTTTCCACAGTCACCTCCGGTAACTCGATTTGGGCACCTTTCTCATCTAAGGGCTTTTCAGTGCTTGAATCCTGAACAGCTTTTGAGGTCTCATATTTTTCTATTCCTTCTAATTTTTCAGGTCTCCCATGGTCACTTTGAATCTTCTTGTCATCTATTTCTGTGCTCTCTCCTAAAGACTGAGATGATGCTGAGGGTATGTCAGTTTTGGCCATTTCTGGTTCTCCACTTTTTTCTGATTCTTTCTGTTCAGGTGTCAGCATTTCTTTGTCTAACCCTGGCTGTTTATCATCAGTGGTGCTGTCAAACTTCACATCTTTCTCTGCTTTGACCTCTGGTAAGACATCTTTCCCAGCTTTCTCTCCAGTGTCTTGGCTTTCTGAGGGTGTATCATCTGGGGACTTGGGGGTGGTGGGAGTTGGGGGAGCCTTGATTCCAGTTTCCGTATGAGTGAAAGTAAAGGAATTGTCTGGTGGGATTGGAGAAGCCTCTCGGGAGGGGTCTTTTTCAATGTCCACTTCAGGGATTGCTTGGATCTTTATGTCACCAGGCAGGCCACTCTCCAAACGAAACTCAGTCAGTCTGTCTTTTGAAGAAGTGATTGGGATTCTTAGCCGATCAGGTTTTACTCCACTTGTCACAGCTCTTTCAAGAATCAGGGTAGTCTTTACTGGTGCATCTTTCTTCTCAGTTACTGTTTTTTGAGATATGTCAGCTACAGTTCCTTTCTCATCTGGTTGTTGGATTCCCTTGTGAACATCATCCACTTCTGTGGCCCCAAGCTCTTCCTCAACTTCACCCTCCATAGAAGGGAAGTGCTGGTGGGGAGACTCCCCAGGACTGGGTACATCAGCAGGAGAAGGCATGGGCCCTGAGTACTCACTGAAAACACAGTAGCCCATTTCTTCCAGCTGTCTTTCCCCACCCACCACCCTGGAGGTCTGATCTCCCAAGGCGAGCTTGGCCAAAGAACTCCCCACCAGAGCTGATACATCAGCGGGCACTGACTTTCGTCTCATGTGGTCAACCTCCCTCCTCTCTAGTGATGGCTGTGGCAGGGATCCAGCCAAGTCCAACATCTCAGAGAGGCTGCTTGTTTGCTCAAAACTGTGCTTGTCAGAAGGTTGAGGCGTATCTTCCTTGGTAGGAATATCCTCAGTTGATTCAGTGGAAGTTGGGGTAATTGAGACAGCTGGAGGAAACGTGGGTTTATGGCTCTCCACGGATGGTGTTGAAGGGTAAACCTCAGATTCATCAAAACTTCCACTGATTGGACCCAAGCTGTCCAAGAAGGTCCTTGACGTCTCTTTCTTCACTGTCTGTCCCACTGAGGATCCAACAGTGATGTTCAAGGAGAGGCTTCTCTGTTCTAATGACATCTTACCAGGACATGTTTTGACTTTCTTCTCCTGTTGTTCCTCTAGCTTCTGCGCAATGCTATGGGTTTCCCCACTTAACTTTGTCTCTGATGCTGTGCTGAGTTCATAATAACTCTGAGGTTGCGGTGACTCTTCTTCATGGCTTTTTGAGGATGTCTCAAAGTAAGTTGTTGCTCCTGGCTCGTGTTGAACAAAAGTTTCCGATGTGGATTTCAACTCTGTAGCAGGGTCTGGACTTGATTTGACTGTTTCTTGTCTTTGGTCGACTTTTTGAATACCAGTCGGTGGCGTCTCATGCAACCTAATGTCACTACCACTGTCTTGATCTGCCTTATTTATCTCCTCAACCGTCCCCACTTTTTCCTTGCTTTCATTCATAGGGGCTTCTGATTGGCTCGGCGGGACAGTTCCCTCTTTTTCTTCTGACGTAACCTTTGAGGACTCTTCTGCCTGTGAAGACTGTTTCACCTCTTTTGCTTTGGACTCTACAAGCAGTTGGCTGTCAACAGACTCTTCTACTACATCCTTTCTGTCTTGGTTACCCAGCTCGACTGAGGAGGTGTCGGAGCGATCTTTATCTTTCACAGTGGGAGGAGGAGGTTCGGTCGGGGCGAGTTCTGCTCCTTCAGCTGTTGCTCTTTCAACAGCCACCTGCTTTCCATGTAGCGACGGCACTTGAGGTTCATCTTCTTTCATAGCGGACTCACAAGATGCCTTACTGATACATTCTTCCAGCTGGGCTGTGAGTTTGAAGGACACTGTACAACTTCGTGCTGTATCATATTAGCTAAAAGCTTTGCTAGCAGCATCCACAAAAGCTAGCCAATACAGTCAAGCCGAGGCCCTCTGCACATAGATACAGTAGCTCTCCATCAAGCAAAACACACAGCACAGTGTATTTTGTGGCAGGCCACAACAGCACAGGGGGGATCACAGCACCTAAGATTGCGTGCAGAACTGGAATGACGGAATGAGTTGCATGACGTTAGATGATAAGAAATAAATGTACACAAATATGTTGAATTCCTATTGCAATACGCAAGGATTGACGAAAATGGTCAACCCAATGGTCAAAATATTAAAAGAAAAATACTTTTAGTTTATTCAATTAGCCTTTAAGATAAGGATGATGATATATGTCCAATGAGGGTGGATTAAAATGTCCAAAGTGTGATCTTAGTAACAATAGGAAAACAGGATTATCCTTTGCTTTGGGATGAAATGAAAACAACATTGAAACTCAAAGCGAGTGATACACAACAGACTTAAAATACATTCAGGACTGATTCATGAAGCACCCATACACGTGGGTGTACTCAGAAACAATTTCTTGCACACAATATTCCAGCAAAACCCACATAGAAAATATAGACAACTAATTCTAGCAACACTTAAGTCTACAATGCTTGACAGTTTAGACAGTGATATTTGCATTTGCAATGTAGCTGGCAATACAAAAGTGCAGAAATGATCAACTACAATATGGTTGATCAGGTTTTCTAATGTCGCTCCAATGAAAAGCAAATGGTTATGTTTTGCATGAAAAAGCACAAAATCAAAATGCTATGTCACATCATTTTGCACATGGCAATTTCAGGTTTTGAAGCAGAAGCTTAAGGATTTAAGGGCAACAAAGCCAGAGGAAGGTTGGCAGCAAAGCCTGAGTTGCATCACAATTTATAAGTCAAGAGCAGAAAGTCTGTGTGCCCCTGAACAGAGCACGAGAGGATCATGCAAAATAGGCAATGGACAGACTCACATTTACTCAGTACCCTCACACAAACTGTATGCACACGCACAAAACCCCATGAAACCACACACACCTTTTTGTGACGGGCTGTGTTCACCTTGATGACTTCCTCCATTGAGGACCTCAGGTGTCTGGGCTTGCTGGCAGCCCAAAGCCTGGGGCTCTGTTAAATAATCTGCCTGCTTTAAGAGCAAGTCTCCTGGCTGCTCATATGTCACTTCCTCTTGGTAACGGCTGGGCCCCTCTGGAGCCTCCTCCTCATCTTGCTGTTGACTGAGAACCTCTATTTTATCTTCTTTGAGCAGGGAAGGGATACACATGGATGAGACATGGAGGACAACAAAACTGGGGTTACATGGGTTGCATGACACTTTCAGCTCTGATGGAGATGTATGGGATGCAATCAGCACATCTTCTAGCCTAGATAAATATTGAACAATTTGAATTTAAAAAAAAAGATACCTTAAGGTTTAGAAATAAGAGTTACATCTTCACATATATGCAACTAACCTGTCTTTTATTTTCAAAATATCTAATAGAAAAATTAAAAGTATGAGGAAAATTCTCTTGGGATTTCGTCCATATTTCATGTACAATAACACCTAAACCATGCAGTGGGTCTAATATGAGTCTACATTTTGGTGATTGCATGCCACGTGCAAAAATGAAATGATTAGAAAACAGGCTGCACTGTTCTCTGTGAGTAAAGAGCTGAAAGCCAATCCTGGAGAAAATCAATACACAAAATGAGAGAACAAAAAAAAAAAAGAACAGAGGAGATGTTGAGAGGGGAAAGCAGACTAATGAGATGAAGGGCTCCAGTGGCAGGTTATGTGCTATTGCCTAAAGGGAGGAAAGATGTTTGTGTTGCTGTTTAGCTCTTGGATCCAGGGTTGACTCCACTGGTACTGGATAGAAAACTAATATGAGGCTAATATTGGTAAAAGGAACCAAAGTGCGAATTGGACAGGACAGCGTGGCACATGCTGCAGACTCCTCAGAGGTGATAAGACAATAAGCTGACATGCAAAGCAACAGAGACTCCTAAAACTAAACACTAAGGGACCAGAAGAAAGAGGAGGAGCGGCGGCCATGTCTCGAGACCGATCTCTCGACTGTGTGTTTGGTGTCTTTTTTCTTTTTTTTTTTTTTAAGAGATATTTTTGCCACTCGCACCACCATTCACACTCTCATGCTGGATGGTCGGGAGTGGTTATCAGTGTGTGTACCTTGTGCCACGGGCCCAATCTGCTCAGCGGATGGTGAGGGGGGAGGGGAGGGAGGCAAATTGGCTGAGTCATCCACTGCGAAGGGAGAGAGAGTTAGAGAGACAGAGAGAGAGAGAAAGAGAGAGAAGAGATAGACACACCGGGAAGACAAGACATGGATGGGAGGAAGGAAATGAAAAACTAATAACTCAAAGCTGACCTTATCTCTGTGGGTGCCACCCCTCCCCTCTCCTTTGAGGTCTAAACAATGCTCTTTGTGTGTGTTTGTTTGATGAGCTGTCGATGCAGAGCGCAAATCCCATTGGCTCCTGTGGGATTTGATTAGTAGCCAGTTGGGCTTTCTGCTTACTCCCCAGTGCAGATAAATACAGATAGAGCACCAACTTACCTCAGATGGTGTAGAAAACAGTGTCGAAAAACATCACATGATGTGATGATTGTGAGTCAAATTACGGCAGCTCGAGATTCAGATTTGACAATAAAACAATCGAAAGACAAAGAAAACATGACTGTCTGTCTTTATCCCTCCTCCACTCCACTCCACTCCACTGCCACTTCTTTTCCTACCTTTCCCATTTCTCTCCATCTTTCCTTTAAGCTTACTCCATCACTTGGCACACATATCAGTCAGAATATTTTTATTTTATGTGAAATTTCCAGGTCCTAATATAATGCATATTATGCTTTAACGTGTTAGTAAGATTTAGTAACTTTTATCATGATTTAGAGTTTTTCTGATCTGAATCTGACATATTGTCAATTGTTAAAATCCTTAAAACAAGCATGTTCCTGAAAGGCAACATCTTAAAATGTCCTCCACTATGAATTAAAATAGCTTTATTACAAGAGAAACATTAAAAATTTATGTTTTCACACAAAGCCTGGAGTGCTTCCAAACCAAGATTCATGAAGCTTTCTGATCTACTTCTGGAGAGGTCCAGAAGCTTAATTATGCGAGTAGTTCAACCCACGAGAGACCCATAACCAAGTGTCTCCGGGGACCACGGTGATGTCCTCCAGTCTTTGGTCGTGCTTCTACAGCAGATTGTTCATGTTCACGACTCAATCAAATGTGAAACAGTTTGATCTGTTCAAGTGCCTTTTGGGAATTGATCTCTCTTTCCTGGCACTGTGGAACCAATCACATTTACCCACAGCCATCTGGCAGTGTGTGCAGGCAGCCAGATCAATGTCACTGACCCAGTAAGGCATGCACATGCACCGCTTGCAAACACACGTCCGCGTCCACCTTCCTACCTGTCGTTCCAGGATGTGCAGCCGCGCCACCGTGGTATCCATTCTCCCTGTAGCCAGAGCTGTAGGCGGAGTAGCCATTCTCGCCGTTCTCTTGGCCGTTGGAGGCCCAGTGCTCGTCTGGCTGCCGACCGTCTGCCATGCCTGCCTGCTGGGACGCCGGGGAGGGGATGGGTCACCTGTTGGGAGGAGGTGAAGAGAAGGGGAAGATGAGTATCGGGCATCCGAAAGCAGAGGATCGGGGAAAGTGAGTAGAAATGAGCCAAAAATACAAAACAAAAAGATGGACTCCTCAAAGCATTTAAGCTGACTCTGATACATGGTGCATCCTGTAGGGGGGAAGTTCACAAATCAGCCACCAGAGGGGTTTGGGAGCCACACTGCTTCTCTAACCGGTCTTTGTCTCAGCATCCACGTGCTGAGACAGGAGGGAGAGGCCGATAACATATCTGCATGACTGTTTTTCCCCTTTTACAGTGCATGTTGAGTTCCCACAGACAGCCAGTGCTTTTGGTTTTATATCAGCAGCTGACAAGGTTTGAGATTTGCTACAAACCCATGCTAAACACACACACACACACACACACACACACACATATACACACACACACACACACACTGTGAGCTTCTCTGAATTAAAATATGAACTGAACGGCAAAACACATCAACCCCCGCCAAAACAAAAAAGATGACATGCACGACCGCAGGCAGCTCCCGAAATTGTAACGTGTAAAGAAAACATGTGAAACACACCCTTAATAACCATTCACCAGTGACAAGGAGGTTGCTACCATGGCAACCAGAACAGGTCTTGAGGGGGTCCAGCAGATGGGTTTGACAGGCTCGCCCCATTCAGGCCAAAAAAAAAAAAAAAAAAGAGTCCTCCATACGCACACACATACACACACACACACGACAAACAGCAGCACCTATTAGCACCACAGTGCAGCGCAACAAGCTCTCTCCCATTAATTTCAATAACAAAAAGGTTTGTCCCAATCAAGTGTGAACTACTAAACCATCTCCATTCTAATCGAGCATGTAGCCTCATAAAAGCGGCCCTATTTCCCCCTCAGACGGGACACATAATGTTGCTTTTTAAACACAATTAGCAGGGGGGCCCTCCCTCCCCTTGCCTTGCAGCTTAGCTAAACAGCATCATTATCATCAAGCAGCTGCGGTTAATTTCATCATAACAAATTGTCGGCGAGGCTCTTTCTTCTTCCTCCCTCTGTCGGGTTTCTGATCCTTCCTTTCCTCAAAAAACCATGCAACTTTTCTATCACCACCAACTCTGACCCTGTCCTTTAGCTGCTAGCTCTTTGTCTTGCTTTTTTATTCTCTTCTCTCCCTTTTAAACTCAAATTTAAACTCAATATGATATTATTATGTGAAATGTATTGGTGGTAGCCAACGTGAAATAGTAGCCGATTACCCCTCCTTATTTGTCTCTTACTTTTTGTCCTCTTTCTTTCAGCCTATTCCTCTCCCGTCCTCATTCCTCTCTAAGTCTCTCTCCTTCCCTGCAGCGCTGCATGACGACAGGCTCTTAGTGATCGGGGCTAATGTCTGCTGCAGTGGGAAGATGTGAGGATCAGAGAGGAGAGGAAAAAAAAAAGAAGAAAAAAAGACGATGGAAGAGAAGAGGGAGGAGGAGGAGGAGGACCTACTGACACTCAAAAGATACTGGGCCAAACTGTCTGAGAGTAAAAATCTCAGCCCAGGGCTCAGTCATAGGCGAGTCTGGTCCCAGCTGTTGCTAAGGAAGAAAACTGGTGCGCTGACAGCCCGATTGTGCTGATGGTGGTTTAGAATTGCATTGACCTGCTTTCAGCTGCTGTTTTGGCAATATTATGCCGCCCGCACTTGGCTTTCACACAGTGTCCCCTACAAAGGATGTCATAAACCTGGGCTGCTTACATAAATCCTCCGTGTTCTCATTTGATAGAAAGGCACTTTAACTGCAGAGAAAGAAAAAAAAAAAACATCTTTTCCCTCACAAATTCAGATGCATTACACCACAGGGGTTCAGACATACTGCAAATAAATCATTTACTATTTGACTTGTTTTCATATTTGTCTGCCTCCCCTACCAGCAGACTGTAAAATCCTAAGAATTGGTGGCACGTCACAGTGGCTGTATAAGAAACCTTGAGAATCAATGCTGTCAGATGCCAAAGAAATGAAAAGTTTAGATGAAGAATTGTAATGCTAAAACTGCCTTCACAATCTTCTATGTTCTCTGGTTCTCTGTGTAAACCCGGTGGTGGTGTGCAAGAGTTTAAGGCCTTGTGCATGACATCACAGGTGTGTATTAGACCAGTAGTTTCCGGCCTTTTTTTTATCGGATGTAAACCAACAGCCCTGCAAGGTGAACTTCAACAACATCAGCTGTTATTAACCGAATGTTTTCGTTTGACTTGATGCGATTTAACATATTAATTTTTATCCATTTTGCTGGCAATTTCAACTGTTTATCTATAACTTTGAGCTTATTTCTAGTTTGTCCTTATTTGTCCATTAGGCTAACTATTCTAACCATTTAGGTTAAACCGTGACTTTTATCTAACTATTTCAGCAGTTTGTTTGTACTCCTGACATCTGGGTGTGTTCACCCTCCAGACCTTGCTCTCCAGGCGCACCCCGTCACCCTGGTGTGGTTAACGTGATCCGACATCGCCCTCTCTCATCACTTCCTTGTAGCTGTTTACCAGTCTTGCTGTGTTAGAGAGAAGAGGATAAACGGCGCAGCGAACACGTTCTAGACATAACAACACCCAAATAAAGCAGCAGGACTTAATACGACATTCTGCACTGATGGAAAACATTCTGTTTGTTTTTCCTGCTTTTTCCCACAGCAGTTATTCTCTCATCTGAAGATCTAATCTAATAATTTACTGATACTCTCTGTAGGGTCTGTCTGCAATTTACCTTGTGGCTATTTGACAAAGTACAGCGAAATATTGCTTTTATGAGCAGGAAAACCTAGTTATAGACTCATGTGGCATTTACTTTCACACAGGAACAGATCTCTGGTGCCATTTAGAAGTGAAACAGATAAAAGCTACCTCCTATTCAGCTCTATAATAAACCTTAACAACCCAAACCACCGACACTAATGCTGGATTTAACCAGTGACACCTGTGATATTTTCCACATGGTGGAAAAGGTATTCAGGTCAACAGGAAAGAATAAAGCAGGTTGCTAAACAAGATTTATGAATAACCAAATTAAAAAAATACTTGAAAAAAGTTTACCTTAAGACTGCAATATAATCAATATGTAAAACCATGAGGGAAAAGGTTTATATACAGTATACTGTATGTGCCCATTACATGTCATTGAACGCCCCTTTTTCCCCTTGTTACCCATGTCAACCGCTTCTTTTTGCCACAAAATGAAAAAATAAGAAACTATTTTATTTGCATTAATAACTGGAATATTCTTACAGCACTGGCAGATTTAGACTTTTTGGGGTTTAAGACGTAAGGGACTCAATTAAGGATTAAAATTACATGATAATGTGAGTGCTGGTTTATATTTTACGGGCAGCAAAAAGAAATACTTCATGTGCATGATTAAATTAGAAATGAGGTAATTAACCCTTCTGTAGAATCCCAAACTGTTAAACAATGATTGAGTATTACATTTTAAGAAAGGCTAGAAGCATAGCAGTTAGTCCGCAAGTGCTCAGCATGAGAACCATCATAGTGTCCTAATCCTGAAAGGGTTAAATCAACAGCACTAGGAGTCAAAAAAGGCTTGTCAAATCCCATCACGTCTTGGGACTGATGTCTTAGATTGAACCTGCCAGCATGATCTCGTCCAGAGAAGAAGAGAGGGTGTGGCAGCGGGCCTGAGGCTCGCTTGACTTTTCTCCTCTCCCTCTTTTATTTGTCTTTCAATGCCGTCATCCCCCTACCTACCAGCCCCGGCATCCCTCTTTTCCACCGACACCACCACACCCCATCCCCCCATCCCTAATCCAACTTCACTTCCCTCCCTGTCTGCACCCCCCCACCCCCACCCCTACCCCCCCTCAATCTGGGTCACTCATCACGCCTCCGTGGAGCGCCGCTCACATCGGAATGTCACCATCCATTTAGGAGGGAGGATGGAATCTCTGGCAGCCAGTCTCAGTAGGCCAACCTGGCCTTAATCCTCTGTGCGAGCGCCTGAGTGTGTTGCTGTGTTTCTATGTGTGTTTGTATCTGTTTGAAAACATTCATGCCTGCACTTAAAATCCATTTGGTCTCACTCCTAAGTTGGCTATAGTAGAATATTATCCCTACTTTTACCATCCAAGGCCATGTTGCTGTAGATATCCTAAGTTGATTTTATATCTGTTCTAATCATACATATATTCACGGTTTTCAATGACCTTCCACTGATTGAAAATAACGAGCTTTTGTCCCCTCTGCCCACGCAGTGATAGCATTTTGGCTATCCTATTGGCTATAATGAGAATATTTGGTAAACTAATTAGTTAAGGGGGGATTTCCAGGAAAATAAGCAGCTTTAGAGACAGCAAGACAATAAGAAGGTCATCGGTTTGCATTCTCCACAACTAATTAATACGTCTGCCAAATTATCTGCATGTTTACATGGACTACAGTTCCAATACCATCGCAAATAAGCCAATCATATGATAAGAAATTGACTTGTGAACATGATTTATATTAGCCTGGTGTGAAAGTGATATTTATTGTCATTCAAATATTAGTCCCTCCTTTTTAAGATTAAGTGCTTAATTGATTAGCTTAATAATCAATTCACTGTTTAAAGGACAAAAAGACCCATAATTCACCAGCTGTAACTTGTTAAGTGTGAATATTTTCTGGTTTTAGTGGTAAACTGAATATATTTGAGGGCTGCACTGTCGGTGGGACAAATCGAGGGAGATGATGACGAAGTTGGGAAATTGTGATCGGCAGCTTTCACCCATTTCTGACATTTTATAGGCGAAACTTTTTAAATGATTCATCAAGAAAATAATCTGTAGAATCATCAATAACGAAAATAATCACAGTTGCGTTTTTGTGTCAAATACTGAACTCCGACTTCTTCATGATGCATTTATAGGCTTCAAGGGAGTGACTTTGTAATACACTGGAAAGTCTGTTTAGTGGTAAATGTAAATGGGAACGTGTATAAAAAATGTTAAATAAAAATCAACATTCATCATCTACATTATTTAAGATGGGGTCAGAAACACAGTCGCTATATAGTACATTGCAGTGCATGATGGGTAAGTGTCCCACTGAACAGGAGTCCCGAGGAGGAAAGTAGGACAGTTAAGGTTGACGTGACCTGTAATCAACCTAGAATCCAGTGGCTTCCTCCTCCTCCTCCTCCTCCTCCTCCTCCTCCACAGGAGCGGATTATGTTTCGTTGACTCAGCAATACATGTGTGGGTCTGAAGCATAATGAGCGCTGCCAGTGAAGTGTGAATGAACAGTGTATATATGGTGAGCAGCAGCATGACGAGCAGGGCGCGCGCGCACACACACAAATACACTCCCCGCTCACATGAGGTGCAGGGCTGGTTCCACTCCTTACAGATTAAGTACCGTAATACAGGCGGTATAGGCGCACTGAGATAACAGTATGTGACGAGATCCCAACTGAATCCCATGTTGTGCGGATTGTACACTCCAGACTCCACACTGACACTTTCTCGCTTCTGTATTTTAAATTTAGAAGTTCAAACACGCACCGCAGCCCGCTGTTGACAGACACGTCACCTACTTGCAGGCACTGACCATAAGATGATTTCTCTCACTGCCATGACACCATGATGCTGCGTGCGCTGTGTCACATCCAATCAGCTGGCAGCAAAAAAAAAAAAAAAACCTCAGCAGTTTTTTTACTCTCAAGTGCAGATTCATTACACAAAAACATCAGTCGTGATCGATATTCATACGTATGTTGACCGGTTTCCCATCACTGGAAAAACATGAAACATGATTAGAGATAGAAATTGACAGTAGATAATATAAAATTTGGTCTTAAACTGACTGAATTAAGTGATGCTACTGCATGTTTTTTTTGTGAGTGTTCCAGAGTAAACCAATGTTCCCCCTTCCAGACAAGTTAAGGTTGAACTGAAGTCAAACTGACTGCTGTGTCTCCTCTGCATCCTCACTCAGATTTATCCCCTCCTCTCAGCGCCTTCCTCCTCTTTACTCCCAGCCTCCGATCTCATCAGACGAGTAGATGTTTCCAGGCAGGCATCGGCCCCGCCCCACGCTGATGTCATCCCATGGTTCCCATGGTGACACAATACCCTGGCAGGGGGAGGGGGGCTGGTGGCGGTCAGGAGAGGATGCTGGCAGCGAAGAGCGGGCTTTGACCATGTTATGGATCCTGAAATAGGTCACCAGATCCTGCAGGCACGGCCCCCGGGGGTCCTCCCTAACTGCACTGACACAAATGGGAGCCGAGCCATTTAAATTCATCAATACACTGATAGCTGGTTGTCGGTTGGGCTGATGATGACATTTTAGGGCCTTTATGCTGCTGGTGCTGATGATGGTGGAAATCTAATGTATCACTGACTTATTATTATTATCACTGGAAGTTATGACCAACATTACTGCATGTATGTTGCTTTCATCACAAAATAAGATGAAAATAGCTGAGTCAACCATTGAACCTCCTTATTCCAAGGCAATAAGACAATAGTTCCCAACTTCTTTTTAATTATGACAACTAAACTTGTGACCCGTCACCATGTCAGAGGTTACTCCAAAGATTGATTTTGTTTTCTTCAGACAATTTCTATTTTTATAAAATGTATTTTATTGTATTGACGGCACTGATTATTAAATATAGACATTTTAAAGATTGATTAATTTGGCAATTGACGGAATGTAATTAAGCAACAGTTTATATAATCAATAACTGTTTGAGTCATATTTCAAGCAAGAATACCAACATTTGATGGTTCCAGCTTCTCAAATATGAACATTTTCTCCTTTTTCTTTTTGCACATTAATGTAAATTGAATATCTATGACTATTCAGACAAAAAAAAAGTTATTGGAAGAATATAAATGAAGTAATTAAGTGTCACTGTAAATAATTGCAGCCCTAAAACACTCGGTGCCTTTTGGAGCACTTGAAATGATGTTTCATGTCTGAGGGAGCAGCAGCAGCCATTAGTTGGGAGGAAATGTGTAGTTACCATGAGTAGTGAATGTCGAGAGCAGCCACTGTGACATTTTCACACAGCTTCCAGCTCGCCACTGCGTTCCTCCACAAAAATCTCCCCTCAGTCTGTCTCTTTAGCGGTCCCTCCCTCCCCTGCCATCTTGCATTTTTACGCATCCTTCATGGGCTGAGGAGATTATGATGACTGACGACAGCTCCCAGCCCGCGCCTATATACACACCTACACACACACGCCCTGCTCAAAATCAACCCACACGTGCATGAGGACCCACAAATTCAACTGCACGAACGCACGCACGCACGCACACAAACAAACACACCCACTCTTGTCGACCCCAAGTGCATCCACAAACCAAAAATTCTCCGGCTGAGAGCAAACACATTGTTAACATGAGCTAAGTATAGACACGCACACGCGCACACACACACACACACACACAAACAGAGGACTTCTCTAAAACAACATTTACCACCAAATCTACTTTTAGCCTCTCGCTCTGTCATTTCACTTCCTGCCATGTAACTCAAACACATTTGAGCAGCGAGAGCTCAAAACATGAGACTGGAGTTTCAACTTAATGACTGGCCTTTTTTTGGCGGGCAAAAATATCTCACATGACATCAACCCAAACAATCGCCCTCTTACCCCTTCCCACATGTTGGTGAGCATAATTCCCCTTCTATTATACATTCACAAACAGCCAAGCTAATCATCTGGCTGAGTGCAGCCACTTAGATCTGACTCCCGGGCCCTATGAGTCATGGGAAAAGTGAGTGTGAAATGTCATGGGGGGTGGGGGGGGGTAGAATGGTGTGTAGGATACCATCTGGCAGCAGGCCAGACTTTTATGTTTTTCTTTAAGATATTTAGGTGCGAGAGGAAGCATTGCACTTGAAAAGCAAAGTATTCAAGCAAAAGAGACGAAAAAATGTTTGAGTCAATACAGAGTTTTTAGCTGAGAGAGAGTGGCGCTGTGGATGGTAATATTGGTCGGAGGATGAAGAAAGTATGGAGTCTATAATATCAGTCCTTTAATTATTAGGAATTAGTGGACTCTAATGGGTTTTAAATAGTCTTTGTAATTAAATTTACAACATTAAAACCCTGTGTCTATTCTAAATGAACCTTAATCACAACTATATAAACCTAAAATCTTACCAACTGGCTTATTTAGTAGTAACAATAGGTGCTAACTCGGTTTATGTAATTTTGTGCATAAGAAATGTTGTGCACACACGTCTGCGTTGGTGTAATTCTGTGTGTGTCTCGAGCTGTGATGTCACTTTCTATTTAGTGCTAACTACCACAGTTTGCATTGTCATTGTGAGCATCCTGACGCATAGCAAGTGCACAGCTGTCGACTCTTCACATGCATGTTTTTTTTTTTCTTCCCCCCATTAGCTTACCGGACTTGAAGAGCTGCTTTCACTGATGGGTGAAACGGAGGAGGGCCGAGAGTCTGCTCAGACCTGCGTGAAGGATGCAAGAAAAAGAGAGAGGGAAACCATGTTAGGAAACCACTGAAGTAAAAGTTATATGAATGAGACAAGCCTGAGCCCATTTAACTCACCGACATCTCTACACCTGAACCTCTCAATCCTGCCTACCTAGTCCAGAATCAAATAAGGGGCTTTTTTCTTTTTTTTTTTGTCATCTCGGCTTCATGTTCAGCACAGCCATGCATACGCACAGCGGCTTATCTCTGTAACCTGGAGTCTGCCAGCAGCGTGAATCCAAACCTCAGTGAAGGCCTTGTAGCTCTTTTAAGCTGCTGCTGATGTTCTGTACATAACAGCACAGCCGAAAACAACAGCAGTGTGTGTGTGTGTGTGTGTGCATGTGCATTAAGTCCACATCTTTTTCTCTTTCATATTGCTGCATTTTCATTGAGCTGTGTCATGCATTTTATGTCGAGTAATTTTTAGAAATGCTGTTTTATATTAAAATGACTTGTATTATTCTCTAGCATTGTTCACATTATCGTATATCCCTCAAATGTATGATTTTTTTTGTTATTTTCTTTTAATCTTTCAATTAATAAAATGCAAGTGCTGGGAATTTAATTTAATTTAAAAAGCAAAAGTATCATGTTGTTCCAGGAGGGAAACTGCACGTGAAACATGTTCAGACGCTTCTACTGAACTAAAACTGCAAACTTAAGAGAAAATGAAAAGCTGAGAAACTTTAAAGTAAGAGTTCCCAAGGCAACTGGAGAGATGATAATAATCTAAAAAAGTGATCACAGTGGTTATTTCTCACAAACAAGTGATTACAAGTGAACGTGTCCTCTGTGTGCCAACTAGACAGACTCCACTAGTGAGCTGTTTTTTAAGATTTGTCAAATTCCTGGATTGGTCCACTGGGACTGAGCCAGGGGATGAGTTAAGGCTTAAGCCGGCCATGAAGAAAGACAGATTTGCACGTTTGTTCTGCTATGGGACTGTAAAGAGGGAGAACACAGAGCATCCTGTTAACATTAAAACAGTGTGAAAGCACCATCGGGGGGTTCTGGCGCCAAAACTGGCGGTTGGACGGAGAGACAAAGAGATAGAGGGTGAAGTAGAGGGACGCAAAGAGCACAGAACAGGGATTCTCCAAACAGGAAGGAGGTTGATTTATTAGAGAAGAGAAGCTTGGAGTGAAAAAGAGAGGGAAAAGGAATTCACAGAGGAGGAAAGACAAGTATTTTTAGTCTTCCATTAAAGGATCGTCACAGTTTACTACAACCTAGGTCTTATTTTTGTAGCTTTGGTCATCATGCCTCAGGGTTATGATAACATAAAAATATATGGATTTATAAGGGAGGAGAGAAAATATGAAAAAATAAAATAAAATAAAATAATAATATTAATAATTTGCCTTTTGCACTTCAAGGACTCCATATTTCTTTGTAAAAAGGCTGGCAATAACTAAACACATGCCGTTTGCCTTAAGTGGACTACACTGTGCAAAACCACTGTTGGGATGAGCTTTTAATTTGAAGGACTGATGAATTACATTCATAGAAAAGGTGACAAATTAAAGCAAAAGCCCCCAAAACAGCTTCAAAGGAAGGATGAGCATTTGTTATGTTCCTCCACTCATTTATGAAGGTTTTTTTTTTTCTCTCTCTAATTTGTTAAACAACTGCATATCAAGAAGAGACAAAAAGGCATAAATTACTCTCTGAGGGAAGCAAGGAGTGCGGAGAGGGAAGAAAATAGTAAGACACGCGCAGAAAGAAAAAAAAAATAAGGAAACTACAGTCACACAGGAAGTAATGTCTCTTCTGGGGGAAGGCTGCACGGCCAGCCAGAGAAGCTAAAGCCAGGAAAAGCAAAGGACGATGAGAGAGAGAGAGAGAGAGAAGTGTAGTTACTGCTCAGCCCAAAAATATCAAGAGCATGACAGGAATAGAAAGCCACATGTTTTCAACAGTCACAGTAATGATCCCTTCTCTCTTACACAAATTCTTCCTCAACAAAGTTCTTTAAATCTTTTAAATCTGACTGATAGAAACTCATAATAAATATACATATATATATATATAACAGGAACTTGTGATCTCTGCAATTGATGCAACTCTAATTGGGAGAATAGTGGATTAATGAGTGAAAACATGTCTGGTCTTTTTGATCTCTGTTTTTATATTTTCATCTCTGCGAAGCTGTAGAAAATGCAACCAGCCTCTGTTTCTTCCAAAGCCTGTCTCAACAGAAGGTATCTGCCGTTATCTTATCTCCGAAGTCATTCATTACAGCTTTTACAGGACCCAACGCTGATAATATGACATCTCCACAATCTTATCAGTGACCCAAGGCAGCCACCAACCCACCAGCGCATCTTGGTTGGTGGATTTAATGGAAAGCACAAACAGGGTTGAACAAACAAGCAATTTGTCTCGAGTCCCTGGAAAAGGTGGAACACGGCAGACGTACGGGTTTCATCGGGACCTGCACGTTCCTCCCAGGAGGACGAAGTCCAAATGGGTCAAATAGAAATGGAGGAAGGGAAGAGTCAACGATAGAGGAAGGAGGGGAAGGAGGTCAGAAGCTGACCTAATCCACAGATTTGACTTCATCATCAGAGACGAGGCAAACAGGAAATGAATCCTAATCTCGGCCCCGTGCTAAAAGGCCTGATAAACCTCGTCGCTGGAATGAGCCAACACAGGAGATAAAGGGGAAATGACAGAAAGACATTTTCGGAATTATCTGGTTCGGTTTTATTGACGCGCCGCTTCCTGCATTACTGCCAATCTCTTCATTCTGCCTCATCAACTGAAGGAGTTTAATTATCCCAAATCTTAATCATCACTCAACCATGCACAGCATTTAAGATGCAGAGTTGCAACAGTCAGCCCATTATGAAAGAGTAGGTACATTTATTTAATTCTTCATAAGCTCTGAATTGATTTTGGCACTTTAAAACTCTTCTGGCACCATAACTGAGGGCCAAAGGGAGAGCTGGAAGTAAGCTCAGAAAAGGAAGCAGTAATGTACAGCGAGCCATAAACAAATGACAATCCAATAAGCCGGGAAACCGGATCAAACTCTGGTTATATTTCAAAGCGTCTGATTGGTTGATTGTGCAAGGGAAAAAGTCCTTTTGGGCCAGTGCGTGTCACGTGACCTGCAACGCCTGCAATCACCACACGGCAGAGCATTATTAGACATAATCCAGCGTTCGTCTTTAGAATCATGATTCTATAGATTTTTGATCATTTGATTTCGGACACAGTCTTGTCTTTGCTACAGTCTTTTTTGGCCTTAGCTAACTAAAAGTTATGCAAAGCACCCAATACTGACACGAACAGGAATTTCCAGCACTACACAAGGACTAAAACAGGCTTTATGTAGTTACATAGTCCTAGTTTCCTGAGGACATTGAGCATGGCTGCCAGAAGTTGTATTATGTCACCTGAAGGCTTAGTTGCTACTGCTAAAACTGCTGCTACCTCCTCTAGCAGGTGCCAAATGCTAGAAAAAAAAGGAAGTATGATTGTGTTACTTAAAAATCCCACTGCACTTTAAATCACTCTAGTGTCACTTGGGTTCTTAAGGGGACACTGAAGTGAAATAAAGCCCCATTTTTTTAAAGACCCACACTGATTTCACTGAAATAAAAATGACAGATGTGTATAAAAAGGAAACTAACGACGGGGAATGGGATGATTTAAGGTCATGACATGGCTGCTGAAGCTGCAGTGGTTTGCTCAGACTGCGTTCGTGGTGTGTTTTGGTCCGACCTGGGGGTTCGGGCCAGTAAATCTGGCAGAGCCTCTCCTCTGAGGTCTCTGCTTCCTCCCTTTTAACTTGGCCATCGCCCCCATGTCCTCATCTATAATTCACACAGACAGCCCCCTTCTCCCCACAGACGAACACACACACACACACACACACACACACACACACACACATATACACACGTGCACCCCTCAGGTCAGCACACACACAAACACATGCATGTTTAACACATCAAAGACGAGGAGCTGTGGTGAAGGTGAAGGGTATTCTGGGGTGACGCAGCCAAAAAGCTCTGATAGATGATGCACAAGGGAAGATTTCACAATAAAACTAAAAGAAAACAGCATCTAGAAACACACTTTAAATTTTTTTAATAACAGCTGCAGTTACTAAACTGATCTTCTGCCTCAGCGGCAACTGAGATTTATATTGCACACTCCTTAACTATTCTTCCACATCATCCGTGTGTTGATAACCACTTCGGATTCGGCGTTAAGCGTTCGTGGCTTCTCGTTATCTTTTCACCACTGACTTCACTTGATGTGAGCCAGTGAGTAATTGCATCTGTGATTCACTTCGTCTTTTTCTAATCACGACTCTACATGTAGTCCTGAACTCTTTTATACAGCGAGGAGAGGGGGGGGGGTTATTCAGTGCAACCTTACAGATGTAAATAGAAACCGAAAGGAGGCCGTTTTCTTCACCTCCACACTTTGCACAGAGTACAGAGAGGGTCTGTGTGGCTAATGAGCCAAACTCTGCCAAGGGAAGAGGCTCTTTAATTAATCTGAAGAAGAAGAGAGACGAGATGAGCTTGAGAAGGCATAGATGAGCAGACAAACCGGTGATATGACTGTAGCACCGGTTTGAAGAAGGTCGAGAGCAGTCCAATGAACTGCATTCCCAAAACCGGCAGGGACGAGACAGAGACACTCAAAAAGAAGGTCTTATTTTCACAATTCTGCACATTTGTTCAAGGGAAACGTAAAATATATCATTGCAAAGTCTGTTTGGAACATATTTTTGTCTGTTGTCAGGCAGAAAACACAAATAAGACTAAAAACTAAAGAGATAAAGTTCTTAGAGTTTGTTGTGCTGCTTTTTGTTTTTAAACCATTCAGCCTTTACTAATAGTAGAGATAGTAAGAAAACATGGTGGAAGAGGGGGATAACATGCAACACATCCCTGGCTAGAAATTAACCAGGGATGTTGGGATATGTGTCCTCACCACTTGGCAATCCGCCCTGTCTACCGACAGAGGGCAGATAATGTCTGGAAAGAAAACAATATTGTGAAAGGAGGGGAGGGTCTGATCAAGCCTCTAGAACTGCACTGGCTTGGCGGCAATGTCAGTGGTGAAACTGGGGTTGGGTGGGGTTGGAGGGGGGTGGGGGGGGTCACATGCTGTGCTTGAAGCCAAAAAGACTTTTTTTCTAGCACACAAAAAGAGACGGGATCTGACAGCAGCTCACTGAGCAGAGGACAACAGTGGAGAAGACCTTGGACCCACACATAAACACACACACGCACGCCTCATACTTTAGATGCAAAAGTCAAACACACTCTCTGCCCTTGACTAGTTCTACAAGCTTAAACACATGCGAGCAGCACTTTGTCTCGCCACGTTACGACAACCAGGCAGGACCAGGTGGAGGCCTTTGTGCCTCCAAGGCAGCAGCTGCACTTGAGAGTGGAGACAGGTGGTCAGAACTGGTCTATGTACATATATACATACAGTATATAGGTTAACACACGTTCTTCAATCAACATGTTAGGGCAGGGCCGTCCAAATGACGCCTGGAGGCCATGGTTTTACTGCTCTGAGGAACTTTCTCAAGAATGCAAGTGATGCTGGAACTGTCTAATTTAACAGGCTTTTAGGTAGACTGGCTTTGGTAAATCTACTCAGGTTTCTGCAAAAGATATATAGATATTTAGTTCTGAAATGACGTCTTAATGTATGGCCAGCTTGGGATGTCAATAGTCATAATATCTCATCATTTTTCATGTTTGTGTTTAGCCACCAAATCCGAGATCACAGATGATAAATCACATATTCTCCTTTCATGCAAAATCTTTCATTGTATATTCACAATTAGTTCACCTTAAATCAGCTATTTAAGGCCCAAAGCAGTTAGCACACAATATAGGTGCAGTTTGTATAAACTGTTCATTTTTTCTTTGCAACAAAATCTCATACATTTTCCCTTCTGATTTTGCATACCAAAAGCGGTTCAAGTGCTTTGCGGATGAGATGAAAGGATGCTCGCCTCTTTAGTAATCTGTGCCTCTCACTCTGTTATGCAGCATAATGACGAGCTCCTTAAAAACACAGCACACACCGGCGTGTGCAACAGCTTCCCCAACTTTGCTGCAGTCCAGCCCCAAAAACACCCCAGCCGCTGTCTGTTTTACTCAGCACTGCGTCCGTCTCCGCGGCTCACCTCAACTCTGTCAGTTGCTCTGACGTCAGACTTCATCCTCATCAAGTGTCACTCGTCAACGGACACTTGAGGGCGTTCAGTCAAAGTCGAGGCCAGCGTTGACTCAATGCAACAGCCCTCTCTCCTACAGTTTGCCTCTGAATAGCGCCTACATTGCACTGCAGCGCGAGAGGTTGAAGTTGACAGATAGTGTCGCAGCTACTGGATGAGGGAATTTTCTCATATGGCAGTTGGAAACTTAACAAGCCACCAATAAATAGCATGATTATTCCCAAAATATGTGATGATGCGTTTCCGAACTGACAGTTGGAGAAGTGAAGGGGCGCAAAGCCGCTGAAACAATGGCCTCCTCTTTTGCACTTTGCATTTTTGCAACACCTACATTTATCTCCATTACATTTCAAATGCCTTGCTGACAAACAGCAGTTGGAACCAGGGGCAATGTTGACTCCAAAACAATGTCCCTCTCTCCCACTCGCTTTTCCCCCTGCAAGCGCCGCAACAGTTGGTTAACCGAGCGACTCGGTGGCCTCCGTGCCAAACAACGACCTCGCTCCGAGGGCACGGGCTCGGCAGAACCGGGAGAGCGATGCAGGAAAAAACGGCAAGAGGAGGAGGAGGTGGAGGATGATTGGGGAGGGGGCTGGACAACATTTTTTGTGACCCCCAAAAAAGCAGGACAGGGAGAGGGCGCGTTTGCCCCCTCGTCGTCCCCTCCTGTGCCATGGCGTGTCATCCCAAGTTGGTTCCCAGGAAAAGACAGCTCGCCTCAGAGCTGCCCAGCAACCGTGCAGGCAGACGGAGACAGAGGGAGATGGAGAGAGTGGAGAGGAGGGGTAGTGTGTGTGTGTGTGTGTGTGTGTATGTGTGTGCATGTGTCACTGTGGATGTGGCAGATACTCTGGTTGACTTCTAACACACAGTCAAAGACACAAACACATGCAAGCTACTGTTTAAATTTTTGTCAGTAGCTCAGTTAAAGTCAGATTTACTTTCTTTATCAGCCTATTTAGTATTGTTTATTGCCCGCTTGCATGGAGCTAGAAAAGCACCACTGAGTCCATTTAACCCCCCCTTGGCTCAAACACTGGGTAAGACAGAAACAGGAAGAGGGAAAAAGGAGGGGGGTGGGCATGGGGAGTGGGAGAGCCATGAGACATCAAAACAGATACATGCATAAACATGCAAAGGGAAAGGTAAAGACAGGGAGTCAGATTCTGCGTCTCATCCCTCCATCACCACCTGCTCAAATCAAAACCACCCATCAGCCGCAAACCCCCCCCCCCTTCCCCGACAGCAAACTTGTGACAGCCAGCTCTGCCGACGCTGACAGGCGGAGTAATGTGTTCTGCGGTCTCACTCAGGCTTGATGTCACTCCCACGGAGAAACCACCAACAATCTGTTGGCAATGAGTCGCTAACCGCCAACGGCCACATGCCATCACAGCCCTCAGCCTCTAAATATATCACAATGGCCATTATTTCCAATGGATGTCGTGTGTTCGTTCCACGGAGCGAAAATCACTTGAGATTAGGGTTTTTATGCACGTGCACACACACACACACACACAAATACACACACACACACACACACACACAGCAAACTCAGGGTGAATAATCAGCCATGTCTAGACGAGGTACGTCACAAAGACTAAAGGTCACCAAAACACACACACACACAAAAAAAAGAAAACAGCCCCTGGTTTATTACATCATCTCTTAGAATATGTCAGCAGCAAATATCCTAAATCCTAAGACTCTGTGCAAACAAAGGAAAGATAATGAACATGGAGACACATATGTTTGCATCTCTAAGGAAAAATATAACATCTTACCTGGTGGGGTGGGGCAGTTATTCCAGCTTTTTGTCTGCGGAGAGGGTACAAGGGGGGGGACACGGCAGCGGCTTCTGCAGAGAGAGAAAGAGAGAGAGAGAGAGAGAGAGAGAGTAGAAGAAAGACAGGAGAAGAAAAAAATGAGAGACAGAAAAAGGAGCGAACAGGAGTCATAGGGGCAGCGCCACACTGAGAGAGATGGCTGATGCTTTCTTTTTTTTTCTTTTTTTTGTGCCGGCGAGCACACCGCTGCAGCTTACACGCTCCCTCAGAAACACATGCACACACACACACACACACGCACACACACACACACACACACACACACGCACACACCAAGCCAACCGGGGATGCTGTCTCACGTCGGTCTACTACCCTCCACCCCTCACTGTGTCTCCTTAACCAGCACACACACACACACACACACACACACACACACACACACACACACACTGCAACCAAGCCAGTGTCTGCATTGCACTGGGGGCGGGGTGTGAGGTTTTTTTTTTTGCCATGTCTGAGCACAAGAAATTCAAGTGTATGTTTTTGTGTGTGTGTGTGTGTGTGTCAGTCACATTAATTCATGTTTGAAAGGGATATGAAGCTCATCCATCCCTGAGGGAATTGAGTTCAGAGATAAAAGACTGTGTCTCCAAGAAATTTCCAGAAGCATATTTCATTCTCTTCTCTCTGTTTATCTCACCCGTACAAAACTCTGTTCTTTTCCTCACATTATCAATGCATGAAACATTTAAACATGACAGCGAGAGCAGCCTGAGTCTGTATGTATATGAAGTGAGGGGTGCGGGGCTTGCCCCATGCTGAATAATTGCTGTGTCCCAGTGCTCATTTGCAGGCATGGCCAACTGCAGCAGCAGCACTGAAACAAAGGCAGAGAGGGGGGGGGGGCGATGGGGGGGGAAAGAGGGTTTGAGAAAAGCAGAAAGAGAGACTGCAGAGTCCAGACAAGCAGAGCAAAAGCATACAGCCCGGTAGCACCAAGCGCTGACTGCTGAAAGCCTAATTCCCTGCTCATTACTCCAACCTCAAACCACATGAAATGAAATATATTTATAGTCCAGAGGCTCACGAAAGGTCCCACTCTTTAACAATCCATCACCAGCGCCTGCAGAGATGTCGTGGATAAATACAGAAATGATGAGCTGAGCTGATGAATGAAAAGAGTGAATGATTGACTGGATATGCAAACACATTAAAGGGCAGGTTCACATTTTTTCCTACCAAGTCACAGCAGAGAGAGAATCAGTCAATATCTATACATGTATCAATAGCTTTTGTAATAATGGATCACAAGACTACTTGTATGTGAAAGGTGTCGCCCATTTATTACCAAATCACTGCAGTTCCCTTCAACTCTGTGGAGCATATCAGCGTCTGTCAGCACATTTACCATGTTAGTATTACATTAACAGAGACACAGAACCTATCCTTTAAGAAGCAAATAAATTAAGCTACTAAAGCAAACCAGCGTGACCAGACTGATGTCAAGAGACACTCCCCAACACGATCGCCAAACCGCAGAGAGACCACTGAGGTTGTCGTGAGGCTGATTCATAAAGGGTACAGTCATACGGCTCCCAAACCACTTAAAAAATTAGAGGAGGAGAGGGAAATGAGCAAGCCAGCGCTGCTCCTTCCATCCCACATCACATCCTCTCTCAGTCCCATCATTAGCCCGTCGTGTTTCAGGGGCAGGGGGGTGGGGGTGGGGGGGTGGGGGGGGGGAGAAAGAGCCATCGGAGGAAGACTGTAATCAACATGTCAGCATCAGGGGGCTGGATCAGATTTAAAAAAAAGCAAATGAGACATTGAAAGTGGCAGCTGAAAAATGATTCTGTCGTCAAATTGAATTGCGAGATGATTTCCAATTTTGCACATTTGCTGAGAGGGTTCGGTGCTCGTGATGAACCTTGTTGTTGTTGGGTAGGAGGAAAGAGAGAGAGGAGATGAGAGATAAGCTTAGGAGCGGAAAGAGGGAGGGACGGTTGGGTGGCATGTTAAGGGGGAGACTTGTGCAGGGAATCGAAGCTCGGAGGCGCAGACAGTCCTGTCAACGCCAGCCGCCTTTTAAGGAGGCCTTTTGCCAGCACTGATTAGAGGCTGAGGCCTGGACCGGAGATGCAGAGCCAGCTAGCGTGGCCCGCTAACATCTAATCTCCCCCCTCAGCCTCCACTGCCAGAAAGCAGATGCTTGTCGCGCTAACGCCAATCTGCCACAACCGAACCGTCAACAGACGCAGCGGCGGGCTGAACTCGCTGCCCGCCAGATTACACATTATTTTCGTTTAACCTGCTGTTTGAGCAGCACATATGGAGAGTTAAATGACAGACACTGCTTTGCTAAACAGGTGCAAAGAGGCGGCACAAGAGTCTCTGCGTTTTAAGGATATCTAAGGCAAAGACAAAGTGTTTTTTAAATGTCAATGTATGATTGCTTTTTGTGTGGGGTTTAGTCATTTTAAAGCATTTTGTCCCTCTAGTATCAGCAAAATCACTTCTAATTCAAAAAGCATATTAAACCAAGTAAATGTATATCTCTCATGTATCAGATTAACTCTCTTTATTTTAATCAAATGGGTGCGTATGGTTATCACAGGATGGATTCTCATGGGTCACAATAAAACCTTCACGTCTAATCCCAAATTAAAAGGTAGGTCAATCTCATTGCTGTCCTGGAGGTGGGGGGTTCAGGGCGTGTAGCTGGTTGTTGCCCGCTCCCCCAGCGGTGAGATTGGGGCACGGCCAACTCGGTATGATCAGGATTAGCCGAGTGGATCATCGCAGCCTCGGTGTAATCTGCCTGGACCCCTTCATCCAGATTTGGATGGGAGATTTCACAGCTGGTCGGAGGACGTCTAAGGCTGGAGTGGCAACGTTTGGGAGAGACAACGAACGTCTCAATGATCACGACCTGCATTTATCTCTTACTCCGGTTTTAAAGACCTTAACCCATCAACCACAAGTACAACAATGAGGCCTGTGTAATAGAGTTTTAAATATCACCCTCTATTGACTTGTGTCTGACACACCTGCTGTTTCAGACACACACACATACACACAGGATTAGCCTTAGCAAGAGGCTACACTCGAAAGCAAATGACTGCAGTGTGAAGCATAACAATCTGAGCATCATGTGTTTCTGCAGCAAAACAAACAGGTGCTGACTGTTACTGGAATCCATTTAGCCTATGAATCCCAGACTTGCGGATGTATCATCATATCCAAAAAAGATGTCGACCAAGCTGTCACCCCCATCAGACCTTTTTCTTTTTTTTTTCTCCCCTTGAAAGCATGACTCAAGCCTTTTGAAAATGCGGCAGTAGCACAAGCTGGGTTTGACTGAGCGGGCAAATTTTCTTGCAGGTGCTTAAGTGCACGGTGCAGCGGTGGCTTCAGCGGTTCCACATCATCGAACACAGGGGGGGGTGTGTGTGTGTGTGTGTGTGTGTGTGTCATCATAAACTGCGATGTCCACCTCTGTTGCAGCACGCCACCGCATGATGTGAACTGATGCGCCGTACCAGAGGGCAGAGCAGAGAGAAGCCGACATGAACGCACATACTGATTAAAAGTAAGGTTCAGAGCACAGTGGCTGAGGAAAGTCGAGACAAAGGGGAATAGGGAAAGATAATCTCAACACATACACGTAAATGCATAAGCATGGCATCAGACCGAGTCTCTCTCTTGATTTTGAACTGTTCATCTCCGGGCATTGTATCGACTAAACAATCACTCTGGAGAAGAAGAAATGATGAACCGAAGCGGCACGAATGATCATAATTAAAGCAGCAGAAGCCAAGATACCATAACCTTCATTAATCTCCCATAATGCAACTCCAATTATCTTTAGTTTAACACTCCCCGTTTGGTAAACTCAATGCCCCCAGTTTATAAAATTAAATAAAAAGGTTTCCAAACAAATTTTTAAGCCCAAATTCAAGACAAACCTGATGACATCACAATGACATCATCAGAAGCAAACTGATTACATGCATAAAATTGATGCAGCGGCCCTTTAACTGATAATAAAGATAAAATTAATTTGAAAGTAAATATCTAATTACTACCCCTAATGTGGAACAATGACACGTTTGCATTTAAACTCTTCAACCCTGACTGCCGCTGCAACTGTAAGCCTTATAGTCAGCGCCGTGTTAATACTTTCACCCAGACATGGACCTCATAATCACTCCTACTGGCAGACACTCGTTAATGACTGAGGATCACCACTACAGCGTCACCGGGATCACAGGAGCAGTCCCTTTCCTGCAGCGCGAGGCCGATTTCCAACTCCAGCAACAACTGCTCCTTTTAGGCCTCGAGCGGCAAAAAAATACAGCGGCATCTGCTTGTTTTTGTTGTTTGCTTTAAACAAATCGTAAATGAGATTGATGAGCATGGAAATCTAATTACCCAAATCCGTGCTGATCTGGCTGTATGTTCAAAGGTTAGCAGTCACTCATCTGTCTCAGGCTCAGGCAGCAAGGTCAACAATATATCATCCATATAATTTCATCAGTGAAGGTTATTTATGTTTATTGCAAGAAGTCATTTCTTTTCATATGAGATCAATTAGATCCACTTGAGAAGCTTGTTTGTCCTTAAGCTCTTTTCATTTCCCAGAGCCTTGAATGTACCTGTTGCCTATCTCTGCCTCCGACTGTGTCAGGGTACTTACTCCTGTTGTTGTTTGATCAGGAGCCGCTTCAGGATGTAGATTTTAGAGGTCAAAGGTGAGTCTGCTCAGGGCTGCTAGACCAGACACAGGAGCTGATCCTCCTCCATCCCCTCAGAGCCCTCTGCATATAGACACAACAGCATGACGCACACACCTTGTCCAAGAGCCGCACAACATGCCTGTCATGTCACAGTCCCAAACGCAGGGATCAGCGTTTCTAACTGTAAATTCACTCATGTGCAACATGAATGTTTGTGTGCAGTCTGAGGTCTCTCAGTTCAGCTTAAGTAACATAATACCATGGCTAAGCGGACAATGACGTCTTCAGTCACTCAGGGAGAGAGTCTAATTTAGCTGGCATGTGGTCATTGCTTT